TCTCGGATCGGTTCCGCATTGTAAATGGGGTTTCAACTGTTTTTCGGGCATGTGTGGTCGACAGAATTCCATTGTGATTTGCAACTGTAGGATCGTTCCCGCAATGTAAATGGGATTGCAAGTGGTGCTGGTGGATGAGTTGCCGATGGAATTCCATTGTGATTTGCAACTCTCGGATCGTTCCCTCACTGTAAATGGGATTGCAAGTGGTGCTGGTGGAGGAGTTGCCGATGGAGTTTTGGAGGAAGTCTCGCACGAAATGCGTTTTTGAGAGATAGGAGATGAACGAAACCCTATGTTTTTCCATACAAAGTCCGTCCCCGAACCTCGATGATCTACCTCTGCGGTGCGACGGTTGCGAGACGGTCTCGTGTGTGGTCGGATATGTTCGGATCATTCTCGGATCATTCTCGGATCGGTTCCGCATTGTAAATGGGGTTTCAACTGTTTTTCGTGCATGTGTGGTCGACAGAATTCCATTGTGATTTGCAACTGTAGGATTGTTCCCGCATTGTAAATGGGGTTGCAAGTGGTGCTGGTGGATGAGTTGCTGATGGAATTCCATTGCGATTTTGCAACTGTAGGATCGTTCCCTCACTGTAAATGGGATTGCCAGTGGTGCTGGTGGAGGAGTTGCCGATGGAGTTTTGGAGGAAGTCTCGCACGAAATGCGTTTTTGAGAGATAGCAGATGCACGAACCCTATGTTTCCATACAAAAGTACCGTCCCCGAAACCTCGATGATCTACCTCTGCGGTTGCTTGCGTTATTGCGACGGTTTGCGAGGACGGTCTCGGGTGGTCGGACTAGATATGTTCGGATTATTAGCGGATCATTTCTCGGATCGGTTCCGAATTGTAAATGGGGTTTCAACTGTTTTTCGTGCACGTGTGGTCGACAGAATTCCATTGTGATTTGCAACTGTAGGATCGTTCCCGCATTGTAAATGGGTTTGCAAGTGGTGCTGGTGGATGAGTTGCTGATGGAATTCCATTGTGATTTGCAACTCTAGGATCGTTCCCTCACTGTAAATGGGATTGCAAGTGGTGCTGGGGGATGAGTTGCCGATGGAGTTTTGAAGGAAGTCTCGCACGAAATGCGTTTTTGAGAGATAGCAGATGCACGAAACCCTGTGTTTTTCCAGACAAAGTGCGTCCCCGAACGTCGATGATCTACCTCTGCGGTGCGACGGGTGCGAGACGGTTCTGCGTGTGTGGTCGGGACGTGTGAAGTGCGAGTGTGAAGTTGTGAAGTGTGGAGTGTGAAGTTTCAAGTTCGGAGTGCGAAGAGTGCAGTGTGAAGTGTGGAGTGTGAAGACTTTGCTTCGTCTCTCGCTGAAAAAATCAAACGGTTGTCGAGGTTTGGAGTGCGAAGTGCGCAGTGTGAAGTGTGAGGTTTGGAGTGTGAAGGAAGCAGTGGGAAGTGAGAAGTGTGAAGTGTGAAGTGCGAAGTGTGAAGTGTGAAGTTTGGAGTGTGAAGTTTCAAGTTCGGAGTGCGAAGAGTGCAGTGAAAAGTGTGGAGTGTGAAGACTTTGCTTTGTCTCTCGCTGAAAAAATCAAACGGTTGTCGAGGGAAGGACACGGTCGGGACAGGGTGTCTTTGAACTATAGGTCATTTATGTTTGGGAAACTTCCGCCGCCGGCTTGCCCGGGTCTATGTTACACACAAACATTTTTACACACAAACATCTTTACACAGAAACGCTCGTACACACAAACCTCTTTGCGTGCGAAAGAGTTACTCCAGCACACGGAAAATCTCAATTTTACCTCAGTTTTTGCCGATCGACCCTCATTTCGTGCGAAAGGGTTGCTCCGGCACACGAAAAATCGCAATTTTACCTCAGTTTTTGCCGATCGACCCTCATTTCGTGCGAAAGGGTTGCTCCGGCACAAGTCAAATCGCAAGTTTACCTCAGTTTTTGCCGATCGACCCTCATTTCGTGCGAAAGGGTTGCTCCGGCACAAGTAAAATCGCAAGTTTACCTCAGTTTTTGCCGATCGACCCTCATTTCGTGCGAAAGGGTTGCTCCAGGACAAGTAAAATCGCAATTTTACCTCAGTTTTTGCCGATCGACCCTCATTTCGTGCGAAAGGGTTGCTCCGGCACAAGTCAAATCGCAATTTTACCTCAGTTTTTGCCGATCGACCCTCATTTCGTGCGAAAGGGTTGCTCCAGGACAAGTCAAATCGCAGTTTTACCTCAGTTTTTGCCGATCGACCCTCATTTCGTGCGAAAGGGTTGCTCCGGGACAAGTCAAATCGCAATTTTTTACCTCAGTTTTTGCCGATCGACCCTCATTTCCTGCGAAAGGGTTGACGTTTCGTGACTCGCCGCCGGCACCACCCTCGGCCTTAAGAGAGAAAGATAAAAAGAAGGCGAGAGAGAGAAAAAGGAGAGAGAAAGGAGAGAAGATGTGAAGGTGAGAAGATGTGAGAGAAGGTGTGAAGATGAGCAGATGTGAAGATGAGCAGATGTGAGAGAAGATGTGAAGATGAGCAGATGTGAGAGAAGATGTGAGAGAAGATGTGAGAGAATATGTGAGAGAAGATGTGAAGATGAGCAGATGTGAGAGAAGATGTTAGAGAAGATGTGAAGATGAGCAAATGTGAAGATGAGCAGATGTGAAGATGAGCAGATGTGAGAGAAGATGAGAGAAGATGTGAGAGAAGATATGAAGAAAGATAAGCAGATGAGAGAAGATGTGAGAGAAGATATGAAGATGAGCAGATGTGAAGATGAGCAGATGTGAGAGAAGATGAGCAGATGTGAAGATGAGCAGATGTGAAGATGAGAAGGTGTGAAGATGAGAAGGTGAGATACAGACCCCCACTATTGGAAGAACCCTGCGCTCAGACGCTCTCGGGAAAAAGTATGGAAAGTAAAACACATTGCAAGCACGGCCCAGCTTCAGGTCGAACAAACAGGTTCTTGGAATCCCCAGGAGCGTCCTCAATGAAGAGGCTCCTTAAAACATCTTTAAACGAGCAGCTTGGCACCATCATTGATCAAAAGAATATCAAAAGATCGCATACTATACGCCGTGGGCTGTGTGTAATATACCATGGGATTCCCCACGGCCCCTCATGGCTTCTAGAGAATCAACCAGGGGATTCTCCACGGTTGTTAGAGAACCCCTCTGAACAGCTTCAACAACCAACACATATCCTTCAAAGAGCACCCGTGGGGATCCAAAAGACTGTCTGAAAGCGCCACATCCAAGCATCGGCACTTCCATCTTGATCAAGCGACCACCCCAGAGGCAGGAGCGATGAGAAAGCACAGCCTCTGATGTTTCAGCGGCCACCTCGGTTTGTCTGGAAATAGGGTGCCCCAAACTCTTTTGATGATGGACTCTCATCCTGTTCCCCATTAAAACACATTTTTTCGGGGCAATAGCGAATGTACCGTAATTCTACGCCGTTTTGAACAGAGCCACCTCCCAATCTGCATCTGACATGCAAGAAGGGGCGACACTCATCCAAGCGCTGAAGTCGGGCACCATGCTGCGTCGGTTCCCGGGCCACAAGCAATGTTCAGGGGACCTATCGACCGCGTTTCTCTTGGGCCAGGGAAAAAAGTCCAAAAGATTGCGGCAGGGGCAGGAAGTGTTCAAGCACCAGGCCCTCTGGCAAACCAGAAGCCTCACCAATTGATAGTTACTGTAGGTTGATGTTGGTTTATAGCATGTTAACACGTGTCAACTATAGTTTCCTCTTTATCAAGAGCACCAAAATCATGGAATGAATCCAATACCGCTCGTATCTGTGCATCCTTCCACTATCATATCCAAGAACTGCTTTGCTCCTGCCGCTTCTTTTTTGGGCCGCTAGAGCGCTAGAGGCTAGGCCCGAGAGGCTCCGCATTTTCGCCGATGACTCAGTGGGATTGAAACATCTCGGTGACACTGGCATACCATGGCATACCAACTCATACCAACTCATACCAAAATCATCCAAAATCACTATTTCCATGATGGTCTAGCAGCATGGTATACCTATGTTTTGTTCACTAAACTCGCTAACCATTGCGTGTGAGGTTGTGCGATTGCTAAATATGAGGGCTTGTGGACTCTTTGGCTCCCTGGTAGAGGTAGAGGTGTTAATATGAGAATGATGAGAATGTCCCCCCAAGAACAGCGGCATAGGAAACCAGCGGCATACCATCCAGCAATGGAAAACGCCATCGACAACTCTTCCATTGCAATCGTGGATGTTCCTTGCCCAAATATTTGGGGCCTACAGTTTAAAGAAAAAACAAACATGCAATTGAATGCAATTGAACCATCATGGAGAAAGGAGGAAAACAAAACGCACAAAATGCTGCATCCTACCTGGTCCATCCTGGTCCTACCTCCATAAGCTCCATCCTTTTTGGGACCAATGCCTACCCGGCCTACCCGGCCTAGCCATGCGATGGTCTGACTGCTTCTATTCCCACTGACTTCACAATCTCCATAGGATCTCACGGGAGGTTCTGTCCTCCGCGCAGCCCTGGCTGTACAATCTGTACCTCCGTGCATCCACTTTGGCCAATTGCGAGATGTTCATAGATGTTCCATGTTCAAACATGGCCAACCTACTGATGAACCCTGTGTTTAAGCTTGTAAGACCCTAACATGGCAAAGTCAGGGATGGTTTTGGCATTGAGTTTACCAGTTTACCACGTTGCTCTACATTTTGCATGCCACTTGAACCAATTGTAAATGTTGCCCTCCCAGTTGAAGCCTCCACAGAACCTCCTCCGAATAATTAATTAAGCAAAAAAACACCTCCAGTGTCTGCAAGTACTGCTCTGTGACAGTATCTCAAAAAATTCCCCACAATCGGCCAAACAAAATGTTCTACTGGCAGAGCAGTAGCCAAATTAAGCTCTACACAAAGCACGTCATCACTTCCCCTGTGGAGAGGCTCCGCTTCAAATGCGTGGACCGCTTCGGCCTTTCCTCCTCGAGCTCAACAAATGTCTTGCGCACCGTGGTGTTGAAGAGCTTTGGTGGAGCTTGCAGCTCACCCTGATGGACACCAGGTAAGAAACGGGGGGAAGCATCTTCAGTCAAGCTGGGGCTCTTGCTTCCTCCATTGCCATGGCGGTAGGCGGCTTTCTGCACCTTGAAAGCCTGATAGAAAGCTGTCTTCAACTCATCCCACTCCTGCCGCACAACGGCACACTGGTAGGGGACAAGCTTGCGACCATCCATGACCCCAAAGATCTTCAACTGGTACCCCAGTCGCTCCATGAAGACCCGCATGTACTCACTCAAGTGGAAATTCTCATCAGACTTGAAACGGGTCCAAGACACCAAGCCAATGTGTTCGCCAGCCGAAACATCGAAAGATTCATCCGAAGAAGGATCTCTTTGCGGGACCAGAGGGTGTCCACGATTGAAGCTTCGCATGGACAGGACCAAGTACATCTTTGCATCAGCCTCCCGCATATCACAGAAGCCGGGGCCATTCACCACCCTCTCGAACATCTTGCGCAACATGTCAGTGAAAGCAGGGAAGTGTTGGCGACACAAGGATGCATGTGTCCAGCTGTCTTCTGGGGTGCTGAAGACAAACACCAAGCGGTACCTGCTGCCCGAAGGGTGTGGCAAACGACGGGTAATTGAAATGGTTTCTGTTCCTACATAGGTGGAATCTCCTTCAGGGTTCGAACATGTGTGGTGAAGTGTCTCAACCCAACCACTTTGGGAATGTCAAATTAGTTATGTGAAGTCACGTGATCTTTAAAACCACCAAACTATGGGATATCACGGCACGCTGTCCTGGTTCAGGAAAGTCCCTGTAGAGAGCGAGGCGGGTCACTGTTCGTACTTTTTGAAAAAAGTGCTCTCTGGTGGAGCCCTGAGAGTGACCAAACAGCACCTGAGCAGTACAGGAAACTTGGCTGGTGGATCCTCGCTAGATTCAAAGCTGAACAATGCCTCTGGACATCTTTGGACAACGTGGAAAAGAAGCAACTACCATGAAAAAAATGTCATAGAAACAGTTCACAAAAAAAAAAAAAAAAACTTTTTTTTTGCTACAGTGTCCTACTATTTGACCATCCCATAAATACCATGAATCACGGACGGCGGCATGCTTGAGACACAAAATCGGGAGAGCATCATTTCTCAAAGACGTACTCACCGCACATGGAAATGTCGGAACAAGTATGGAAAGGCAGAAAGGAGAATCCCGGCCAGGGACAACTGAGATGATCTCTTAAAATCAATGTGGCAAGATCCCAATCCCAACGCGCCCCTGGTATGACAGGGATACCACTAGAGCTACCTGCAAGATCCCGCAAGGCGGTTGGCTGCGGTCAGGTAAAATTGTGCGACCCTTTTGAATTTCACCCGCTGACCGTCGCACGTGCCGGCGCGTTTGTGCCTCCTACTTGATTCTACTTGATCCGACTTGCTCTTGATGCTTGTTATGCCAGCAACTTCTGAATCTGACCCTCCTGGTTGATTTCCATGATTCTCCCCATGGTCCCTATCCCACAACGTCACATCCGAGCCACTGACAACAAGCGAATGGCCCACATGCAGTTGGTGCGCTCCATCAAGGCATTACCCGGCTCATATGTCTCCAGACATCGCCACGAGTACTCCGCTGGGTTCTCGGTTTTGAAATATGACGGAGACAGGGCCCGCACTTCAGGGCGCACCAGCAGATTAGCAGGATCTGAAGGGGCATTCTGGATGAAGACATTCCTCAATGTTCTGGTCGGATTAACAATCCCCGCCACTAATAACGTATAAATTAAATATGCAAACCCTCCGGCCAAAATAGTAAAACCGCCATAAACCACCCCACAATAAAGTACGCCAACGGGTTTTTTACCCTATAGTTGTCTTCAGTTGTTTTCCTTCCTGATTTTTTGAATCTGACCTCAAAGATCTGAATTAAAATCCCGAAAGGTCTGAAATGTCTGAATATGTCTGAATGCATCGATGTCTTCATTCATCTCCTATTCTAAAATGCAGAGGAAAAAAAGCAGCCTGCAAAGGGGGTAGCCTTGAACCTCCTCGGAACCACAACAAACATCAAAATTACATCTCATTGGCTTCATAGTCTTTACGCCAAAGCAAAGAAACCCAAAAGATCAAAGTGAGAACTTTGAAGCAACAGAATAGAAACGGCTGGACGGGGTCCTTCTTTGGGTTGTGGTTATTTTTGTTGCTCTTGTTGCTTTTGTTGTTCTTGCTGTAGTTGTACTTGGAAGAAAGCAGAAGAACAGGGAAGAAAAAGGAAGGCCAAAAAGCAGAGAAAAGCAGAAAAACAAACAAGCGGCGAAGCCAAAAAGGAAAGAAATCAAACAGGCAAAAACAGAAAAGCAGAAAAGCAAAAAAAGAAACCGAGGAGCGGAAAAGCAGAGAAGCAAAAAGGAAAGAGGTAGAAAAACAGAACAGCAAAAAAAAAAAGCAGAGAAGCAGAAAGACGGAAAAGCAAAAAAAATAAAAAGCAGAGAAGCAGAAACGCAGAAGAGAGACAAATGCAGAGAAGCAAAAGAAAAGGGAACAATGCAAACAAGCAGAGAAGCCAAAGAACAAAGAAGCAGAAAACCAGTAAAGTGGAAAGGGAGAAATCCAAACCATTCCAAACCAAACAAAACAAACTGCATACATCATTATACATCTAAATAATTCTAAATAATTCCCCAAACAAATGGCTCCCCATACTAAAGTACAAAGGCTTTCTCAACATGTATTTGTTGTCAATTAGACATTTTGTTCGGCAATACTAAAATGCAAAAGCTTTCCCGGAATGTATTCGTGTTCTAATTAGGCAAATTGTTTCGCAATGTTTAAAACGCAAAAGCTCTTCCAACATGTATTTGTTTTCGATTAGGCCATTTGTGCAGCACTTGGATTGCAAATTGAGGTTGTGTATTCGTTTTCATTTAGGCAACTTGCAGGGTCCCAAAATTACACTTATATAATAATATATGATATATATGTATGTGTCTTCAATTAGGCAATTTGTTCCGCAACACCTAGATGTCAAAAAATGCCATGGACCCAGACCTTTGTTTGGCCACATCATATTTAGGTTCCCTTAGTTAATGTTTGAGGAGGGGTTATTAGATGTTATTAGTACGATGTGGACATTGCACATTGGATCGTTTGGTTTAAGGCAGGCTGAGGCTCACCCTTCAATGAATCCAGGCTTGACAGTCCTGCAACTTGCTGTTAAAATTCCATGGGAAAGCAAACATGCCTAACATTCCTTGACCTGAAAAAAAATGCATCATTTGACCTCGTTTGTAAAGTAATGCAAACCCAAGGCAAACGCATCCCTGGGGCATGGCATTCGGCCACATGGGTGATCCCGGGGGGAGGCTGGGTCCAAAAATTAACCAAGTGTCTTTGACTCCATCTTTATCAAATGACCACCCCAAGGGCATGAGCGATGCGAGAGCACTGCTTCTGGTCGGATTGCAGCCACCTCCCACTGTACATCGGACATACAGGAAGCCGCAAAATTCAGCCAGTCGCCGTGATCCTCAGTCATGCTACACAGTTGAAGGGTTGGTCGCAGGTGGTGAAGTCGATCACACCGTGTCTTGGGCCAAAGCACCGTGAGGGAAACTGCTTGACATGACCAAAAACGATTCCAAGGAAAAGCCGGTCTCAGTCATGTCCCTGGAGCCTTGCAGGACAGGAAAAAAACATGGAGGCAACCTAGATTCATCTAGTTGGCGGTTTCAGCATCTTTCAACTAATTGGGATGATGATGAAAAGACTCAAAGATATTCAAAGAATCTTTAAAATCTCAAAGTATTAGAGAATCAAGATATCTGCATCCAGGAGCCGGGCTTCAGCTCCCCTTCTGGCTGGACCCAAGGGGCCAATGGGCCTCGGCTGATATACAGGGCTCAACAAAGAGCCTCGTCTCTGACCCCAACCCCCAGCCCCAAAAACATCCAAAAACAAAGAGCCAACAGCATTTCCATCCATTTCCCAGCATTTTAGTACAGGCAGTTACTTGATGTTCCTTTTCCTTGTGGAGTTTTCTATGCCAACGCGGCCACGCCATGGCCCCGGGCAGGGTGTGCTCAGGCACCATGTCCGCCTCGAAGCCATCCGAAAGCTCGGCCTTTAGACTGACCTGGGCCAGGCGCCTGCGATCATCTTGTGGGTTTGAAAATTGGCGCAAAAAAAAATATATATTACATTATATATAAATAATGATTATATGTATATATACACACATAGTCACATATATGTATATACAATTATGTATATACATGTATGGCTCAGCCCTGCAACCCCCCCTCCCCCCTCATGGTCATGGTCCTGTATGTACGCTGTATGTTGGAGGCTTTGTGTCGGATATAGTTGACATGTCGCTGGCATATAGATGATCGATGTAGGGTCTACATTACCCCTCTGGGGTGGGTAGGGGCTAGGTAGTGTGTCACTGGCACAACTAGTGTGTAAGGCAGTAAGTAAGTCGTATGTGGCCAGCATGTAAATGATCCATCTAGGGTCTACTTTACCCCCGCCCCCCCCTGTGGGATGGGTGGGGTGTTATAGAGGTATCATGTAGATAGTGTATAGGTAGTATGTGTCTAGCACGCATGTATGAGATCTTGATAGTAGCTAGTATATGGCTACTATAAAGGTACTTTATGGGCAGTAATACATTGTAAATAGCGTGATACATGGTATAGCTTAGCCCCACGCACCCCCTGTGGGATGGGTGGGGTGTATTGGGGTGTTATAGAGGTATCATGTAGATAGTGTATAGGTAGTACGTGGCCAGCACGTGTGTATAGCACATGAGGTCTTGATAGTAGCTAGTATAATGCTACTATAAATTACTCTATTGGCAGTATTACCTTGTAAATAGATTGTATGGGCATATTGTAGGCAGTAGTGAACACTGCATGGAGGTATCCTGTTATGTAGTGCATAGGTGGCACGAGGCCAGCACGCAAGTATAGCATATGAGCATATGAGATCTTGACGGATGCTGGCCACCTCCGTTGCTAGGGGGGGGTGGGGGGGGTTGCTGGGCGCCGGGCGGGACCATATGTACATATGTAATCATATGTATATACTGATGTTGATATGTACTGATATTATAATATATTATAATTCATAATGTGGATTTAATGGGACATTGATAGGATAATCGGGATTTAATGGGCTTCAATGGGATATCAACTAACCAACCATATGCCATGAATCCCATCCCCAAAACCATGGTGGGTGTAGGGATAGTAGGAACCACATATTTGGGACCATACAATGGGGGTGTTTAATTGCTTAATACTAGAGGGATGGGATTATAATGGATTATAACCGTCAGAAATAGATAGGTAGATGGCCTTCAAATTTAACACTCTTACTACTGTATTCAGATTGATCTATTTAATATCCATATATATATATATATATCCATATTGATATCACCTATCCAACTGGATAGGTTGGATTAACTCCCATTTTGATGGCCCCAAACTCTCCTTAAAACTTGCAGAACTGCCCCTGCAGCCCTGCAGTTCACCACCACATGACACGGTCGCCTCTCCAAGACTTCGCCAAAAGTGGATGAAGTGCACATCGCCTGGGCGGGTCATGACCCAAGGCCCTTACTAAAGCTCTCGTTGTTTTTGCCGGCCTCCGATGGCTTGCGCTACAGGAACAAAAGATTATTGAACAACAAAAACATACAAAAACTATTTATAGATATTTATAGACCATTTAGTTTTGACCCATCCTGTACCCTAAGCGAGGGCCTTGGTAAAGACTCAATTCATTGTTGGCTGCGTCTCATGAGGTGCAAAGACTCCATGGCTTGAATCTGGGCGGTGATTTCCTGCTTTGTTGGACTGTATCGCTTCGCTTCCCCTTTTTACTTCGCTTCCCCTTTTTACATCTTTTTACGGCCTATACTCCTTTAAAGTTGCTTGAGTATTGTCAAGCTTGGTCTTCCCAATTCACCAGCGATCTATTTCAATGAAGGAATGGGATGCTTATTGATACTATGGGTCATTCACCCGGATGTCTCATGATTTCTCCCCATATCAGTTGGATCATGGTACCCCGGTGGCCTCCTTTGCCGCTGCGCTGCAAGGTCTGCTCCAGAGTGAGCAGCGGAACCTTTTCTTGGGGCTCTGGCCGGTTTTCCAGCATCTTCCCCGGGAAAACCCATGAAAATCCAAGGTGGAAAATGCTGGAAAGTCAACTACGCATCATCCGTGATTCAGGAAAATCATGAAATCATGGCACATGATGGCAAATGAATGCAAATGATGGTAATCAACTCTCCCTACTACTAAAACGGCCCCCCCAAATGGCAAACACGGTGATCTATTTTTATTATCCCGGGGCATTGTGTATTAGGGCGCCCCTAATATTCCAATGAACGCCTTAATACTAAAAATTTAAAAACTTGATTTCAATTTTTGTCTTAATCTCTTATTAAAATCTATATAAAATGTTGCCAAAAACTGGATTTCGAAACTTTCCCCTAATATTCCAATGAAAACCTTAACAATATATTGTTTTAATAAAATCCACTTGGGAGATGGGACCCTAATAAAAAAACCTCCAGGTGCCAATCTATTTTCAGCTGCCTCGGCCTCCTGGAGGGGACCAGGACAAGTGCGACCTCCAGCAATCAAGATGCTGATGGATATGACGAGCAAATCCATATATGATTATATAATATTATATATATATGTTATGTTATATTACAATCCCTACCCCTCTAGAGGGGGAGGGCGGGGGGAGACAAAACCAACCTGTCGAATTCCACTTTTTTTGCTTGGAAACCCTGGGATAGTGATCCACCCCCTCAAATGGAACTGTAAAGTAACATTTCTTAACAAGCCTTGGGCACTGGTTAGAAAATACTTGCGCTTAGCTCCGGAGGAGCTAAGCGCAAGTATGATGACGGCAGCGCAATTTTTGGAGGGATGCCATCCCTACACATGTGCTGCTTCAGTCTGATATGTGCTTGGCTCCTCCGGAGCCAAGCGCAAGTATTTAATTTTCATCTGCTTGCCAATGACATGGAATGATGAGGAATATTGATCATTGAGAAAGCATGATTGCAAAAATGGAATTTTAAAATGAAATTTCAGTACGACTCCCCCCCCTCAAATTCCATGTTTAAGAGGGTAGGGATTTATTACATATGTCATATGCCTATATATATATAGAATGATTTAGAAAGTTAATGATCATTCTGAATGTGTACATCTAATAGCCAATAATATCCAATAATATCCAATAATATCCAATAATATCCAATATCATCTAACATCATCTGTCCTTCAGAAATGAAAACATCCCTCCGAGGAGCTGACTAAGAAGCTCCAAGGTCCTCTCCTGGAAGTTTGTTCCACGATCTTCAGTCATCACCCGTAACTGCTATCCATATCTATCCATTAATCAAGCATGTATATAAGCAGTTTTTTTAAAAAAAAATAAACATGTATAAGCATGATTATTCAACCTGGGATGCCCAAGGTGGCACCAAGGTGGCACCAAGGCACTCACCAGTGAAACTGTGCTCCTCAATGGCATCTCCACTTCGCAAGTTCGGCAGACTGGTGAGGCAAGTTCGAAGGCACAACGGGTGAGGAGCGTCAAAAAAAGTTGGTGAAAAGGGATCCTTGGAACTTGGATGCGTCATCATTCATATATTTCATTTATGTTATGTCAGTTATGTCAGCTGTGTCCATATTATCATATTACTCATGCTGTAAGTTGGTGTCTAAACCCCATTGATTAGAGTTATAATCCCCATAAACCCTACAAAAAATTCGGAAATCTATCATTATCTGGATGACTTGGGTACCCACTTATTGGATTATATGATTAGTCGATGACTCAACCCCCGTCCCCTGTGATCCCAGTGATTCCCTGTGCCTGGCAGCCAGTGCTGTGGCTGGAGCCACTAGCGCCACGTTTTGCGCCACCACATCTGGCGCAGCTTGGAGCAAAGCCCAGGCCTAGCGTCACTGGGACGGTTGATATACCATTGATTGTTCTGGGATGATAGATGACGATAGGTAAGATATACCACTATTTTTACTGGGAATTTGATGAACCTATACCATTTAATGAATTTTAATGATATATGATATATTATATATATATATATTATGATTCATTTCACTAAGGTCACATAAGGACACTCGTGAAAGGTGAACTGACCATAACTGACCAACAAAAAAAAAATGGGTGAACTAAAAATTGGCTTGTCAACTTATCAACCAACGAATTCATACGATGAGGGTGCTGTTTCGCCGTTAACCAGCAACAACGATATAAGATGATTTAAGAATCAGGGCAAACCTTGACCATGCATACCATGCATTGTTGCTAGAGTCAACGATATTGGGGAATATTGGGGATTGGCTGAATCCAACATGGAACCCCAAACTAAAATGGTCCCTTCGAAGATCTTCGAAGACATCGATGAGGTTGGAATGGTTCCAAGCCTCCACCCAATCCAGGGAGAGATCCATAAGGCAACTTCATACTTCTTCAATTAAATACTTTGCCACGAAATATAAAGAGAGTTCCATACCACCAGTTCAGGTACGCACAATCTGCGCAATTACTTCTTGATATGTTGTTCCTGGAACAAAGCAGGAGTTTGATTATGGCATTGCATGGGTAAAAACGATTAAAAACGCAAATGGCACCTTCCATACAATCCTTTTTTGAGCCACCCCGAACCTCGAGTGCCACTTCCGCCGAAAAGTGGGAGGCCAACGGCGACTCCATGCCACGTCATGATGCCATGGCCCCTGAAAAATGTCGGAAAAATTGGCCTTCCAGTGATGGACCTGGAAAATTTATGAACATATATGAACATATTGATATGCATGAACATTAAAATCGGACAAACCTTCGTAGAAACCAGTGTGAGCACTTGGAGAGCCCAAACAAATCCTGTGACCGAAAAGAATGCCAAGATTTGGAGAATTGTCGGGGATTCGTTGAGCATGTTGAGCTAGTTGACCCATCCCCATCTTTGAAACCACTGCACAATGCAGGGGGGTCGAAGCTGGGTTTGTTGTCGTGGTTGCTGTTTGATACCCGCCGCTGAAGGGCGGAAGAGTTCGAATCATCTCAAAGTTATAAGTTTCTCCCAATAATGGTCAGTTATACCGTTATACCGTTATACCATGTTATACATTGTTATACCATGATGTTATACCATGTTATACCTTAGGTGCAGACCAACACCTGGATTCTTAAGGGCCCGTCATTGCTTTTGCTTCTGGCGCTTGTTTTGCCTGGCCCTGATCTAAAGAAAGGCAGCCAGCGAATCCGGATGACATCCCGAGTCTTGAATGTTGGTGCAAAGGATGATGCAACTGTCAAGCACGCAAGAGACCCTGCAGCCATTGTGCAGCCAATCAGAACGTTCACCGGTCATCACCGGTCCATATTTTCGTCAGGTCGTTTTAGTGAAAACAGCGGACAGTGGAATAAAGCAATACACACGCATGCTACACGTCCAGAATCGTTCACCTGATCGACCTGATCCAAATATTGATCCAAGAGTTGCTCTGATCATGCGCTGCATTGGGATTCTTTTCCAGGCGGCCCGAAAGGTTTCGAGATGGCACAGCAGCTCTTCGCAGCGCATCGCAGCTCATCGCAGCTCAGTGGCTGAGAAGTGCCAAGTGCCCGGCGTGTCCACCAAACCAATCTCTTGGGCCAAAGTTACGTGAGGGAAACTATCACTGCCCCTGGAATTTTGCAGCACAAATTACTGTATCCCAGCAGGAGACCCCAAAGCGTTGGTGGGAACACCTGCTGAAAAAACCTTTAGACAAGGACCTCTACAAGATCTTCATGCCGGGATCCCTGGCAGAATCTCGCAAAATCGGCATAGACATAGAAAAACCTTGTGGTGGATCTTTTACAATCTGCAAACGAGAACAAGAACACCAACAGCATCGCACAAGAGCCTTTCACACAAGCACCTCTCCCCAAGAGAGTCCCACAACAGCTCTCACGCAAGCACCTCTAGATGTGTTCGAGGTCTTCATAGAAGGGCCCCTAAGACTGCCTTAAGAGGATTTTACCAGGATCTCCACAAGATCTTTGCACAAGGACCTCTACGAGATCTTCATACCAGGACCCCTAGAAGAACCTCACAAGATTGCCATCGGCTATGATAGGCATAGAAGGAACTTGCACAGGATCTTCCAAAATTTTGAAACAGAAACACCAAAGAGCATGCCACGATATCTTCAAGAGCTTTCACACAAGAACCTCTAGCACGATATCTTCAAGATCTTCATAGAAGGACCTCAGAGGATTTCACAAGGATCTCCACAAGATATTATCACATACGACCTCGCAGTTGAAGCGGGGCTTGGTGTGGCGGTTGCTGTTTGATATTCCCCTCCTACTGAAGGTCAGTTCTGATGCGGGTGTTTGCCCATCATTGCAAGCTATTGGTTCTGGCGCCTGTTTGACCAGCCCTTGGGTTGCAAAAGCCAAAAACCGATGCATCTATCACGCAAGCAACAGATCGCAAGAGACCCGTCCGCGAACGGGAACACTCACCAATTCATTGCTTATATGGGATATTATACAATATTGTACAATATACACCAAGATAAACGCACGCGCACACAAATACGTATCCACCATTTTTTACCCAGTCGGTACGATCCAAACTGATCAAGAAATTGTTCGGATCATGCGCCGCACTGGATTTTTTTCCAGGCTCTGAATAGTTCCGAGGCTTCAGGACGGCAGGGGAATTAACTTCACAGCGGCACTTGCGATTTCGCAGCTCTGCGGAGCGGCTGAGAAGTACCAAGTACTAGGCCCACGGCGCTGAACCAAGGAAATTGAAAAACATGACCTAGAACCAAAACCATCTACTGTATACATATCATCTTTACAGCTATATATTCCTTATAGATATGAAGAGATTTCGTGACAATAAAAACCACATGGATCTCCATGGATACTAAATGGTCTTACACCGCACAATCTTCACAGGATCTCCCTGGAGGAGATCATGGCCTCCACACGCCCTGGCTGTACAAGTTCATCTACTTTTGGCCAATTGCCAGATGTTGGAGTTTACTTTCCGTCCAATGGTAAAGAAACATTGTTCTCCATAATGATCCAATTTGAAATGGTTTGCCATGTTTCCATGCGCATCTACATCATCTAGAATCAGCCAAAAGCATAATCCTATACGCTGGCAAGGTGCCAAATTTTTCTCTACACAAAGCATGCCATGATTTCCCCGGTAGAAATGCTGCGTTTCAGCTGCTTGGACAGTTTTTGGTTGGACAACTCGTCCTCCTCCTCGTGGAGCTCCACGAACGTCTTGCGCACCGTGATATTTCGCTTGGGCACAGAGAACTGGGAATCGGAATCACCTTGATGAACACCCGGTAAGAAATGGGGAGTCGCATCTTCCTGGCGTTTTTGGGGTTTTCAACAATGCCGAAACCAAACAAAAAACGGGAACTCGGCTGGTCAGGCCAGAGAATCTAAGAAATGAACAATACATTTCCAGTAGTGCCCAAAACAATACCTATAAATATAAAGCATCACTGGTTTATATAGACAATTTGCGCGGTGCAAAAGATTGCAAATCTTTAAAGCGTTGAGGCTGTGACGTGCATCAGCGAAAAAACAAATGGTGTTGAGATGCAAATGAAACAATCTTAAATTATGCTTCGGTGGTATCCCCAACAGCCGCAACGTTTTATTATACAAATCTTTCTGAAGCGTGCTGCGAAGCCAAGCGCTGGAAACCCCTCAGCTGGGTTTCCGTGAGTTAAATGGCCGCAACTCCCGGTCTGCATCAGAGCCTCCCAGACCTTCTCCGGAACCGTGTCCGGAACCTTCTCCGGAACCCTGTTGAACCTGACCTGGCTCTGCACCAAAGCCTCCTGAGTTTTTGAACATGTTCAACTGCAAATCGAGTTCACTACAGTCTCGTGCACATTTTTGCAACACCTTTTCCAGATCGAGGTCCCGAATCGCGTAAAGACAGACCTACCTTTCGCGATGCCTGGGGCCACCATACCCATAAAAGCACGACAATGATGCGCACACTTACGTTTCACCCGCGAACTCACATGCTCCCTCACAGTTCGACATGCATTGAAACAGTTCCGGACTGTTGCTGTCAATACTGTTTCCACCTACCAGCCGCTATGGCTACCTTTGTGGGTGAAATAGTGAGATTAGGAAAAATAAACATATTTGTTTGTAATGCGGAAGTTTGCGAACTAACTTCCTTTGATCATACATATATATATACACATGATTCATTTAATATGTATACATATGTATATATAAATAAATATGTGTATATATATATATATGTGTGTGTGTGTGTGCGTGTGAGAATAAATATGTGTGTATGTATATATATATATATGTGTGTGTGTATGCGTATATATATATACATATGTTTCACCATCATTTTTCTCGTGTCTATTCCACGAGACGCACAGGGTAGTCGTTAGTCACTGTTGGCTCACGGCTGGCTCACGGTAAAACCATGACGCCAATGCAAAAAAAAACAATGACGTTCGGGGGGGTCTCACGGTGTCTTACGGTTGTCTCACGGTTTGATCACGGCTGCTAAAACCACCAGCTTCCACACATGTGTGCGCTAAATTCAGCTAAAG